TGACATTTTTGGCATTTGGCTGTATCCTTTTGCTTGTTTGCTGTGGAGTTTCCTTTGTTTGCTGGTTTTGGGCAGGAAGGAGGTGCTGGCTTTTACTGTAGTGTGTTCATCATCTAAGTATTTGAGAAGGGAGATGCTGTAATCCAGCTGCACTCTACTGCTTTAAAAATTCTCAGCAATACTTTTAGGTGTTTAGTTTACTCCCAGCAATTCCTCCTTACTCATTCATCAAACTCCTACTCACTGTGCACCTGCTGTATGGCAGGCAGGGCTCTCTAAGCTGAGCTACAGCAGAGAACCACAGCCCCGCCTTCATGGAGCCTTAGTAAATTATGTCCACATGTCTCCATCAAAGCTTATTTTGCATAAAAATGACGTTGTGTTTATGGAAGATAATTTCAATACTTTACATTTAAGAATTTAGATCAAACTTGCCTAGGTTACAAAATGAACCAGTAGGTCTAATGTATAGCATGAGGACCATAGTTACTGCATTATAAATTTGCTGAGTAGATTTTAAGTGCTCTTACCATGAAAAAAAACTTATACGATGTATATACAAGAAAAGTTAAAAAAATGTATATACCCTCTAACATTCATGTGACACTTCATACTCTACCAAAAGTGCAGAATAGAGGGGAGGCTTTAGAGCAGGAGTGGAGGAATCTGCCTTCATTTTTCCTGGGTGTTTTTTTTTTTTTCCTTTTAATGCATATTCTGCTTATGTAGTGCCTTCATTTTTAGGCTTTTTCAATGTTGTATTTGAGAAGCTGCATCAGGTACAGCTCATTTTCCACTCATTGCTTACAGGATGAATTAAAATTATTTGCATATTCCTTAGCTGATGATATGCCCAAAATAAATGCAAGTCTGGCATAAGGTATTAAAAAAAAAAAAAAAAGTAGAGAGAAATGAAGTTGTGTGGCATAGAGAAGATATTTTTACATTTTAAAATCTTGAAGCATAAGATCTTTGAAAAAATCTTTTTATAAGCACTATAAACCAGAGTTGTTCCTCAGCAATTTGCAGAAATCAGATCAACATGGTGTTACAGACAAATATTTACTTGAAGCCAATTTCTGTATATTATCTCCCTGCAGGCACCTCAACTGCCAATTCCTGGAATTGTACACAGTCCCTTCCAAACCTTCAAGACACCCGTGGCATGAACTCAGCAAATAAATGAGAGCCTCTGTGTGCAAGGCATTGTTCTAGGGACAATGGAGGTGATAGAAACAAATAACCCAGCACCTTCCCATGAGGCATTACTGGGGTAAATGAAAGAGTGTTGACAGAGCAAGGTAGAGATTCTTAAGGGGAAATCAGGACAGATGGCAGGCTGTAGTGATAAATTCTGAATATCTAGAGAACCATCAATAGAGGATGGTTGACTGATACGGTTCCCAACCTGTGTGAACAGGATGGCTATCTAATCATATCCCTTGGTCAGAGCCCATAGCTCACACAGGATAGACTGAGTATTTGTGTCCTTTCTACCCCAGATTCACATGCGGAAATCCTCACCACCATGATGATGGTATCAGGAGGTGGAACCTTTGGGAGGTGATTAGGTCATGAGGGTGAGCTCTCAGGATTGGGATTAGTGCCCTTATAGAAGAGGCCCCAGAGAGATCTTCCCTGCCTCCACCACGTGAAGATGTGAGATGTTATGAGGAAGAAGGCCCTCACCAGATACCAAATTTACCAGCACCTTCATCTTGGACTTTCTAGCCTCCAGAACTCTAAGAAATAAGTTTCTGTTGTTAGGCCACCCCGTTTATGGTATTGTTATAGCAGTCCCGAAAATCTAAGACAACAGAGGAATAGAATCTGAAGCACAGACTTCAACAAAGGCCCATGGGATTTGCTACAAGCGATTGTACCCACATTCCCTGGTGCCCTCTGAAAGTATAGTTTTATTTTGCAGTTTCTTTTTGGGGCTGTGTAGGAGTTCATCGTTCATAAATTTGTTTGTACTGTATTTGAAAATCTCTTCATATTTCCTGCTAGTTCTGTCTCAGGCCATCCGCTCTATCAAGTCCTTGATCAGAAGCATTCCTGAGTGGCTTACATCCTTTAGGTTCCGAAGGCTATGCCCTTGTGCAAACTTTTTAGGATTTGGGAACAAATTCATTCATGTCTCCTTTCATGGATTCTGAATCTTTGAGCTTTCCCCTCTCAAACACTGCAGTTTCATTATCTAACTCAGGCCCCAGAGCCACAAAAACGGTTAATCAAGGTGTTACCTATTTCCACCAATGGCAATGCATACTTCCTACTAACTTCCCACTGACTCCCTGGCTCCACCTTGCATGGTTGCTCAACAGGGAAGTATTAGATTCTCTTCTACACAGAGCTATGTAAGGAGACTCAGGGGACATTTTTATTACAGTTAGGAAAGGGGCTGCTTCTTGAAGAAGAGACCCTCATCTAAAGAAACACCTGCTCAATCAACAGTTTCACGGATACAAAAAAGTGTGTATTTACTCTAAGAAAGGTCTACATAAACCAGCTTACTTCCATCCTGAAGCACTGCTCATGCTCTGTGACAAGTTTCTCGTAAAACAAAAAAAAAAACCAACCAAACAAACAAACAAAAAAACAATTTAAGAGTGGCCGTTTCTGGAAATAGAGTTCGGGAAGCAAATGTAATGGGGATGCGCCACCTAGTGATCAGAGATGGAACTGTCACTCAACTAAGCAAAGGGCTGTGCTTCATAAGAACAGCAAGTGATCACTCAAGTGATTTAATTCACCTTTCAGGTAAACTGAAATCAAAAAATCATCTGGTGAATGAAATATGCAGATATTTTATAGCTTCTAGATATGATATGTGGTTAACAGTCTTCTGGCTAATACATACAAGTGTTTAAAAAGCAGTAACTCAGATATCCATATTTGAAAGAAAAAATGCTAAAAGTTTTTAAATGTTTCAAAAGCAAACTTGAATAAAAATCTTTTTGAATAACTGGGTTTTTCCCCCAATAAAGGGTATATAACAGATCTATACTCAAAAACATTTACATATTTCCACTGTGTCAATAAACCAGCCAACTATGACTCTGTTAGAATGGAGTAATACCCTGAAAAATAAAAATGTTATTCTTAACAATAAAAGTAAGTTGTAATGATTATTCCAGATTATACTTAATATAGAAAATCAGGCCCACAATATTTCTTAACTTGCAATTTTATTAATTTTTCAGTACTCTTACCTTTTACATACTACTAAGAAAATTTAAACCATAACTAAACATTCTGCAGTTTAATTCAAATTTTCATATATACAGACCAGACTGCATACTTACACTGCAAATCTTACACAAGACTGAAGTTGAGCCAAACAACTTCAATTAGCTAACAATAAAAACACTTTCCACTTCCTGCAATCATAGCTTAAAGGCTTTGCAAGGCAGATTACATTTGAGCTGGAGATACAAGTGATGTAGTTTGACTTGAGCAATACAAAACAAGTCATAGGAATTAAATGGATTTTCAATCACTGTAGAAGTCATTCTCTTGGCTTAAGTACGTTTTAATTTTTTCACAGAAAAAAATATATTTCAGGCAAATAAAAACAAATTCCAGATTAGCACAGTTCAGTGTTTCACTTCTTTATTTTACCTTTATGAAGGCAAACAAAGTACAGATGCTGTACATTAAAAACATAGAATATCACTCACACCACATCAATTCCTATGGACAAAAGGGCTTTTTCTAAGCACTGCTCCTTTCTGAAGCACATACCACAACTAAATGTACAAAGAGCCATCTGCTGGTCCAACGTAGCCAACTCCAATTAGCAGGACGTCTATCAGCGTCCATATTCCCAGACCACCGAAGCTGAAGAGCTTGCCGAGGCCTTCTCGCCACTGGCCCAGGTAGAAACGGTCTGCTCCAAACCCACCGAGGGTGATGCTGCGATGGCAAACAGACAGGATTCCATGAGACCCGTCCACCCCAACTGCGGCCAGTTATGGTTTAATCGCTGCGTTACGTCAGATTTGAGAAAGGACTTCCAATGATCACAGCCCTTAATTGGAACACAAGTGACTATTTCACAAATTGACACCACCAAACAATTATGGGCAGGAAGACTGTTTAAATGTCAAAAGTAAACATATAATTTTTAGATGTACTAAAAAACTAATGTTTTCTCTCTAAGTGATCAATCTCATTGCTTTTTAGTCAAAACAAAGCAAAGACCCAGTCTAACACGAAGTGCACCAACATGGGGTCAGGGCTAGAGTCGGGAGGAGCCCACCACCACCTGGATGACCTGGATCAAGTTGTCCATGTTTTCAGTCTATTTTTTCATTCATCTCTAAAATCTTAACGTTAGGAAGAGGTGACTTCTAAGGATCTTTTAAATTCTAAAATCTAATAATACTGAAACAATATTTATTATGGAAAATTTCTAAACATATATAACAATAAAAAGTAAAGAGAACAGTACTCATGACTCAGCTCCAATAATCAACACTTGGCCAGCCGTGTTTCATCAAAACTCTCCCCTTTCCCCTTCAGAGTACCCTGAAGCAAACCTTGGGCATCATCTCACTACAGTGAAGATTTTAAAAGAAACCATGTTGAGTGCTGAGAAGTTTTAATTGTTGACAATTTGTTATAATATAGTACTGTAAGAGGTTAACAATGTAGGGAAACCAGATTAGGGATATATAAGAACTCTACTATCTTTGCAACTTTCCTGTAAATTAAAATTATTCCAAGTTTCAAACATTTATTTATTTTTTAAAAAGCCAGTTGTTAATTTGAACCATTGTCAGCAATGGTTACTAATCTTTTTTTTTGAGACAGAATCTTGCTCTGAGGTTGGAGTGCAGTGGTGCAATGCCAGCTCACTGTAGCCTCCCTGCTCAAGTGATCTTCCCATTTCAGCCTACCACGCAGCTGGAACCACAGACATGCACCACGATGGCGGCTTTTGTATTTTTGGTAGAGACGGGCTTTCGCCACGTTGGCCAGGCTGGTCTCGAACTCCTGACCTCAAGCAATCTGCCCGCCTCGGCCTCCCAAAGTGCTGGGATTACAGGTGTGAGTCATTGCACCCGGCCTATCTTATTTTTGTGAATCTCATTTTCTACCCTGGTGTCCTCTTTTACTTTTCAGTTATGCGTTTCCTGCCAGGCAAGATTCTTCTTTCCTCAGCCCAAATTCTAATGCAGTGCTTCTCAGCAAGGGGCAATTTTGTCCCCTAGGGGACACGTGGCAACATCTGGAGACACACTGGCACAACTGCAGGGGATGGGGGGTTTGCTACTGACAAGTAGTAGGTAGAGGCCAGTGATGCTGCTAAACATCCTACTATGCACAGGACAGCCCCAAGACAAAAAATCATTCAGCCCAAAATGTCAGCAGTGATGAGGCTGAGAAATCCTGCTCTATGGCTGTGATGCTGCAGGCCTCAGGGTCTCAGGCACGAACTCAAAACTTCAACTGTAGGCAGCATAACCTTTTCACTAATCAGTTAACCAGGGTCTCACCTGCTCTTCCCTTTGGTGGGAAGAATTGCTACAATTTCTTAAAGTACTGTTAAGAAGTTTAACAAACAACACATTTCTATGTAAGCAATATAAGCCTATAATTATCTCAGATGGTGGTAATTTTTAATGTTTTTGTCATTTTCATTTTTCCAGTTTTCAGTGTTCAGCATGTATTACTTTCTATAATAAGTTATTTGAAATTAAAGATACACATCATAAAACTGCCTATTTTAGATAGTCCCCAGCATTTTACTGATTCATGGTACATTAAGAACGGGAAACTCAATGTGCAGGTACCTTGGGAGAAAAGCTAACATGCCTGCCAGTCAGCTCCACGGGGCTACTGGTCTGATCACCTAAACTCTTCCAGCAGTTTCCTAGAATCCAACACATGTGGTAGGATCTGAGAGAAGAATTAAGTGGACTGAGCTCAATGTCTGGAAGATTCCACCAAACCCAAAGAAATCTAAATGGCCTTTTAAACTTACTAGTAACAAAGCTTACCTTAGAGCCAGAGCAGTAGACCACTTATAGCCTCCAGTCCAATTGCAATATAGCATTTTGGGAAAAGTACGGTTACCTTAAAAAAAAAAAAAAAAAAAAAAAGAAAGAAAGAAAGAAAGAAAAATACAGGGTATAAAAATACTCTCAGAAAGACTTAATTATAACAAATGGCCTCAAAATTTAAAATGTGAAAAGTCAACTCTCTTTACAGTAATACATGTTGAAGTGAAGAGTACAAAGCCCTTACCATCTATCTGTACATATGTAATATTTAAATTAGCTAAGTTAGGATTACAACGTGAAGAACATGAAATGCTCAACCACATATCAAGACTTACGGGGAAGTTACGAGGATATAAGACAGTGTGGTCCTGAGGCATAAAAATCACCCAATAAGAAAAGAAGAGAAAGTCTAGAACCAGAAACATACAGACACTTCATGTATGACAGAGGTAACACAGGGATCAACAGGGAAGAGCTGAGACAAGTGGCCATCCATGTGGGGGGACAATTAAAGTTGAATCTACCTCACACCATCTACCAGGACCAATTCCAGGGGGACTCTAAACCTAAATGTGAAATGTTAAACTTATAACTTGCAAAAGAAAATGTAGCAAATTGTCTTTATAAACCTGGGGTAGAAAAAGATTTCTTAAAACCACAACAAAAAAAGACTAACTCTAATAACTTAAAGTAATTATATTTTTAAAGTTTTGTTTATGAAAATATACAATAATGTAAAAAAAAAAAAATCAAAATCTGGGAGAGGGTTTCAGGGACAGCACAGGTAATATCCAAAATATAAAAGAAGTCTAGACAACTTTAAGACCAAATTTAATAACAATTCTTGGAGAGAATAGGGATCATTAGGAATAGTTACATAGCACGGGTGGGAATGTAAGTTAATACAGCCATTTAAAGAGTAACGCACACTGGAAAGTACATGCTAAAGAAGCTCTTGCACATGTGCCATCAGGAGACAGGCAAAGAAATTTTAAGAGTCACAACAGCAAAAAACAGCACATAACCAAATATATTGGAGAATAAACTGTGATACAATCTTAAAATAGATTATTACACAGACGTAAAATAAAGAAAGAAGTCATATGGATGAATCATAGAGCCATAATGTTGACAGGAAATAATCAAGTCCCAGAACGGCACAGAGCCTGAAATCATTTTATACAGTTCTAAAACATGCATTATTGAATATTATATGGTACTATTATTTTATTACATATATACAATAAAACTATAGAAAAAATTTAAAAGGAAGTGAAATAAGAAAAAATTCAAAAGGATGGTTACTTTGGAAGAAGCAGTAGAGCAACCAGGTGAAGGCAAGCACTCAGGTAGCTGCGATGGTATTGGTGCCATTTTCACTGTTATTTTGGGTAAAAGTCAATTATTGTGTATTATGCTTTATACTTCACATATTTTTCTTATTTTATCAAATATTACATTTAAAAAGAGAACTGCAGTTTTCTGGATGCTTTACTTTAGTATGTTGAGTTTATTGATGATGCTTGGCACATCTAAAAAGCTGCGGATAAATGTTTCTAATTAAGTAATTTAACTCTCAAATTTCTGGTTAAAGTCCCTTCAATCAACTTCGAGAAAAATACTTTGTTGACAAATGCCCTTGAACTCTGACTTACCCAAGCAGTGGACATGGTCCCGCACCGTGCAGTTGGCAGGGTAGCGCTGCCGAGGACAGGACACCGTCATGCAGCTGGTGGAATTGGTACACTCGTAATCTGTTTCAGGAAGCTGCCAGCAAAATCTGCAAGTCATGTTAATGATGAAGTTCTTTTGGGATTTGAAGTCTTGATCCTATGTAGCAAATGACACAAAACTCATCAATCACAATGGTGTAGTCTGTTAAGATGTCAGTAAGACTACAGTCACATGGCACAAAATTCCTAAAACGCCTGCATTTAGGACCTAAAGTACCAGAAAAAGTTACCAAAACAATATGTATGCAAAACAAATGTATATGATGTGACCCCATAATCATAAAAATACACACCCAAATATATGTACCTAAGGGGAAAAAAACTAGATAAATTCACATCAAAATAGCAAAGGTTATTTCAGGGTGATAAATTTCGTAACTTTTGCTTAGCTAAATTTTTCATAGTAAACATGTGTACTTTTATAATGCAGACAAAGGGAAAATTTATTTTAGAAAGTTGCAATCATGGATGGCTGGAAGGAACTGATGAATGCATTTGTTGAAGGTCACTGAGCTTCAAGTGAGGAGTGGAATCCAGGTTCCTCAACTCCAGCCTGATGCTTCTGTAATGGTTAACACACCGCCTTGCTTCCGAGTTGCCAACCTCCCCTAACATCTCCTACTTTGCACAGCCTGGCAACTCAGGGTTATTACAGCTGCTCGTACCACCAGGGCATGTGGCATGTTTAATCCAGAGGCAGCCCAACTCAGAAGCACCACATGATGTGTGAAGGGTGAGTGAGTGTTCACTGGTGGCCAGAGATTTTTTTCATTCCAATTTCAAAAGCCATTATTTTGTATTCTGCTTATAAAAGTACCATGTTCTTTGTATGTTACATATTTGAAGATTATAGACAAAAACCTATAGGTGTTCAGAGCTAACCACTTTTACTCTTCTTTACGTTTCTTCTATGTGTATATTTATAAATTTACTAAAATGGAATTATACTGAAAGCACTTTGTAGTCTTTTTACTCTACCTGACAGTACATTGCAATGCATATTTTTCAAAATCATTTTTATGTGGTCAATCATCTCTGGAAGCATCATATATATATATGTATGCATATATATACACATACACACACACATTATTATTTTTTTCTTTTTTTGAGATGGAGTCTCGCTCTGTTGCCCAGGCTGGAGTGCAGTGGTGCAATCCCAGCTCACTGCAACCTCCGCCTCCCAGGTTCAAGTGAGTCTCCTGCCTCAGCCTCCTGAGTAGCTGGGATTAGAGACGCACATCACCACGCCCAGCTAATTTTTGTATTTTTAGTAGAGATGGGGTTTCACCATGTTGGCCAGGCTGGTCTCAACCTCCTGACCTCAGGTGATTCACCTGCCTCGGACTGCCAAAGTGCTGGGATTATAGGCGTTAGCCACCATGCCCGGCCCATATTTGGGCCGGCCCATTTTAACATTTCACAAATTTGCATGTCGTTTTTGCACAAGAGCCATCCTAATTTTATCTGTATGGTTCCAACTTTGGCATATGCACTGATGAAGCAAGTACTATTAATTTTCTTATCAATGCAAAAACCACTTTTTATGGAAAACATTCAAATATGGGTAAGGCATCACTTGATTTAGGCAAACAGTTGGATCTGTAAAAATATGTTTACATCTGCCTATTTTCAGTGATGTGCTTAAAACACATTTTTTAAAATGGTTTTTAAAAAAGTAGGTGACACATGTACATGGTACACATTTCAAGACACAACAGGACAGTGAGAAGTGAGCCGGCCTTGTGTGGCCTGGCCTCTGGGAGCCACTGCCCTCCCCAGGCCAAGTGCCCTCTGTACTTCCAGAGAGAGCTTATTCTACACACAGACACATTCATGTCATCAACATTTAACGTTCCCCAATACTTTCACTTGATTTTGTATGTAAATCAGTACATTATCTCTAGAGCTGTCTAGTTCTTTTTAATGGCTACAATGTGTTTTATTCTATTGCATGTGTACCATAAATTAAGCAGTTCTTAGACATTTCACTTCTTTTGAATCTTTTGCTTTAATGAGCAATACAGCTAACAAATAAGCATACTTATTTGCATCCATACATAATATCTATAACATAAATTCCTAGATGTAGAACTGCGAGGTCAATGATTATGTGTGTGTATAAGTTTAACAGATACGGCAAATCACCTGCAAGAGGCTGATCAATTTGATTACCTATTAATAAGATATGAGTATCTGACCCTTATACTCTCATAAACTCAGAGTTAATCAAATTAAAAAGAAATTGCCAATCTGAGGGTTAAAAATGTATTATTTGTATTTAATTATAAGAAAACTTACACGTTTTTCATGTTATAAATCTATTTGTATTTTCTTTCCTATGAACCATCTGCTCATGTCCTAACACTGTTTTTCTACAAGACTGTCATCTTTTCCATGTGGGTTTTTAGGAAGTGTTTATATATTACTGATATTAGTGTATTATTTGTCACATATGCTACAAACACTTTTTCCTAGTTTGCCACGTCTTTTGCCTTCATGCTTTTTTCTTTAGGTCATGCAGAAATCTCCAATTTTTAGTAGTCAAATGTATCAATTCTTTCTTTTATGGCTTCTAAACTTTATTTCATACTTAGAAAAATATTCTCCATTTGGGGATTATAACAACAACTATCTCGTGTTTTCTGTGGTACTTCAGGGTTTCATTTTTCACATTACATCTTTGGACTATCTGGAATTTATTCTGGATAAGACAGGTGTTCCACTTAATTTTGTTCAGGAGAGCTACCAGGCATTCTGGCATTTATTGAATCCATCTTCTCACCACAGACGAACAGTGGCCCTTCAAAAGCTCATCTATGGCAGAAAGACATTGCCACCTCCTCTGTACACTAGCTGTCACTACTGAGAACACAGAATCCATCAGAACGAATCAGACTTGCTTCAGATATGCTAGTAGACTGAGATCTTCTCCAGTCCTACAAAGCAACATTTCTGTCAAGCGCATTTCCAGCAGACATCAACTGGCTTGACAGTTATCATTATAACTACAACAGTAGTGAGCTGATATGGAAGGGTCTATTGGGTTTTTAAATTTATTTCTACTTACATACTCAACAGGGCAATCATAAAAGAATGTAACAATTATTCAGAATTTCTTCCCAATGGTCAAGTCTGAATTGTTCTTCTAACTTGAAGTTTACAGTGATTTTATTTAGAATAAGTAAGCTGCAGTACTTACAACACAGGTAACAGATGGTTTCACTGCACAGTCAAAAGTGACAGGCTTCCCATAGATACAGGAGAAATTTGTTGTGCAGTCTATACAGTCTGCAGGAAGTCTGCTACACAAACCATTGCTTGGACACTTCATCACATAAGGTGGGATTTCAGTACTTTCTGTGAGAGGCAAGAGAGAAGCTTATTCTTCTATAACACTGATTCGAATAACAGAGAACCATCTTCTAAGGTTAAGAGACATGATCATTAGCAAGTAGACACTGCGCTGGAATGAGAGAAGCATGGCACTGGAGCCACAGACACCTGCAATTAAAGCAGAATTCTGCCAACAGACAGCTGTGTGACCTGGTGAGCACCACACTTGCAAAACATCATTCCTGCCTCTCAAGTGGCCGTGAAAACTAAAGGTGCTCATATACAAATAATGCATAGAAAATTCTGGGTATACATTAAGGGCTTAAAAAAAGACTATCATTTTGTAAGTTGAAAAACTAAAACAGTAGGGTTTGTGCAAAATCTTAGAGGAAGTCTGTGGCAAAACTGGAACTAGAACCCAAATCTCTTCATTTCCAATCCAATGTTCTTTTCATCTGAATTCACTAATTTAGAAATGAAGCCACTGACATCCTCAGGGCATCAACTTGAAAATGTCATTATTTCACAAGGGTACTTCGATAAGCCACATTTGCTAATATAGTATTTACAGTTTTATGCTACCAAAGTTCAAAATAGTTCTCTATTTTAATGACATCTTCAGTGAGCTGCAACTTATTTCCAACCAACCTCATCAGTGTGCAATATATTTTTACCAACTGAGAGGATCAAAATTTCAAGTATTCCTGAAAAGAAGGGCTTTCAAAAGCCTGCAAGAGTTAAGAACTCTTGTGCTTTCTCTAAAAAGTAATTTGAGTTTAAAATTTAAGTGCACTGCTGTTTTTTACACCCAAATAAGAATCCGTAAAATACCTCTGCCAGTTTCAATTCATTGAAGTAATGTGACTCTAAAGTGATGAAATTAGACTCAAAGCCTCCACCTAGCAAAACAACTAATGCTTGTTTAAAACTGGTCCTACTTTACTCACTGTATTAAGTGAACAATTCTACAAAATACTTTTTTCTTTGATCCCATGACTATGTGGCTGGAAGGTGGACACTTAGAATCACAAAGCAGAAATGACTTTAGGCCGTTAGACCAACCCCATCGCTTTAACGGTGAGGACCAAGGTCCAAAGGGGATAAATAATTTGTTCAAGATCCCAGTAGCAAAACCAGATCTAGATTTCAAGACTCCATCAGTCCCTCTGTAATCCTTCCATTTCACACAGTCCTGGGGGAGCCTTTAATATCCAACATCAGGAACAGGGTTCTAGAAGTAGAGGAAACCTGCTGAAGGGAAAGAAGCACTGACTGAAGGTTATTTTGATGGATGAAGTGGAAAAATAACAGAAATAAGGAAACAAATGAGCGCGGGATTGGAAAAAGAGATGAGGCAGAAACGTCAAAAGGACCAAGACTATCCACTGAAAATGGCTGTGTATCTGCCCTTAATTCACACCATCTAAAATACAATAAAATATTCAAAAATGGAAAGTGACTTCGTATACTAAAGGAAATTTTTATCAAAAACAAAGAGAAACTACTAGATATAAATACACATATTTACCAGAATAGAAAATGTCTAGTACCTGCTGCCCTGGGAACTACTGTGAATGTGCGTGTTGGGCCCGGATCCTTTATTGACTGAGCCAGCGCCTGCGATTGCTCTAAATTTAAGGATCGTACAATTAGAGAAACATGTTATCCCGGGACAAGAAAACCTTGTTTTGTGCGGTTAACACGGCGGGTCTACACCAGGTCAATAAGCTGCTCATGAAAACCTCACGGCTTGGCAGCCAGAAAACACAAAGCTCAGGGACGAAACGTCAACGGGGTAGACACCAGAGACCGAAGGATGGCATCGCGCTCCAGTTCCACCTTCCCGGCCGAGCCCCCAAGCGCTCCATCTCCGTTCCAGGGCCCCCGCAGCCGCGATGGGCGGCTCGGTGTCGCCGGAGCGGAGGGACGGCCTCGGGCCGAGCGGCCAGGGCGCCGGAGTCCAGATGCAGCGACATGCCGCCCGGAGCCCGGCACTCGGCCTCCTCCCCGCGTCAGCCTCTGCCCTTGGGTCCGGCCTCCTCGCAGCTCCCAGGGCCCTGCTGCCACTCAGCCCCACCGGCGCTGAACCCAGCTTTTGACTCACCACCGCCCGATAGAATGCAGAACTGCGAGAGGAAGAGCAGCACGCGACACAGGGCGCTGAGGCCCCGCAGCGGGCGCACCCCACCGGCCATCTTGCCAGCGCGTGCGCACTTCCGGGCCTGGGGGCGGGCCCTGCGAGGCTGCGCGCTGGCTGATGCGTGGAAGCAGGCGGGCGGGGCGGGCGCCCCTGGGAGCTGGAGCGTGAACTGGACGCAGGCGCGATGCAGCTCCGTACGGCTGGCGTCTGCGCTTTCGCTGACCCCGCGCTGATCGCGGGTTTTCTTCGGGTTGCGCCCTCCGGGAGGTCCCCGAGGAGTATGGGAGCCTGGGAGGTTGCTCCGTTTCCACGCGCCCCTCACGCCCTTGGAAGAGGCCTTCACCCCTCCTTCCACTGCAGGAGACCGGTTAAAGGTCATCCGTGGACCGAAATGCACAGCTAAAGCAACCAAGTGCAGAGGCGGGCAAATGTGGGAGGCAGGCCGCTCCAGCGTATGGTCGGATGTCGAGTGCTGGATCTTGTGCGAAGGTTCTGAAGACAGTATCGCTTGGCGTTTCATTCTAAAGACTTATTTACAGTCGGGGAAGCGGCCCCGGGACGACGGGGGCCTGAGGGACCCCTCCCTTGGGGCCAGCGCTCAGGCCTGCCGCGGCTTTCACTTCTGGCCGGCCCTTTGAAGATACGCAGCACTTCCAGAAAGTTCATCTCAGACCTGGAGAAGCAGGATGGCCCGAGGCGCTGGGAATTGAGGGGAGGGTCCAGAGCACAGCCCTGCCTGGGGAAGGTTGGCCGTCTGGGTAGCCGCACTCAGGCCCCAGCTCATGGAGACCCTTGCCAGTTTCTATCACAGCACACCTGGAAGGAACGTGCTGGTGACATGTGCTCTCCTCCCACCCACGTGCTGCAGGATCATTTATTCCGGGGTCTTCTGACTACCACCCCCTCACGTGCATGTTTGCTGAATGATTTTTAAAAAAATACATGGAAAAGTGCCTGCACATAAGCCCTGAATGTTAGTTTTAAAAATCGTATCACGGCTGGGCGCGGCGGCTCACGCCTGTAATCCCAGCACTTTGGAAGGCCCAGGCAGGCGGATCACGAGGTCAGGAGATCAAAACCATCCTGGTTAACAGGGTGAAAGCCTGGTGGCACGTGCCTGTGGTCCCAGCTGTTTGGGAGACTGAGGCAGGAGAATCGCCTGAACCCGGGAGGCTGAGATTGCGCCACTGCACTCAAGCTGGGCGACAGAGCGAGACCTCGTCTCAAAAAAAAGAAAAAAAAATTGTAAAAAAGCCATTTATCACACAATCTGCACGTTATACTACACAAGTCTGATATATATTGTTTTGTTTGCCAACTGTTTCACTGTTCACATCCCTCAGGAAGTTAACTAGATGATCAGTATATTGAAAAGAGATAATTTCTTATATTTCTTTTGAATTTCACAGCATATTGCAAACTAAACAATACTTCTTGTTTGGTAGCTGAATTCTCTGTTGACATAATGCCATTTTAATTCAGTTCTGAGCAAGTAAAGCATACCTCTGTAAAATCTGAAATCCATTTCAGTATATAAATCCATGGAATGTCATCCCATCAAAAGTAATTTAACTCTAGGTGAGCAGCTTAATTGTAGTAGAAGCCCACAGCTGAAATACTGGAAACACTGATGCAATTCATTCGGGAATTTATTTTTTTCTAAAGCTGAACAAAACCTAATTATGAATTAGAAACATTTAAATGGCAACTCTTAACCTATAGTGCAAACACCAGATTCCACAAAACTGAATTCCTTTGTCAGTAATCCAATATTTAGTAGTAGCTGCTGCTTTTGTGGTTGTTGGTTAGTTAAAATTAAGTAATGATTCCAATTTGAAGATAAAGTTTCAGTGTGAATTTTAGTAAAACAGTCATAAAAATACCTGAGACATACTAGAAAATAAGATTTTCCCTCATGTTAAAAAAAAAACAACTCTGCAGACTTTTATTTGAAGCCCACCTTTTGAAAATCACAAATCTTAGCCCTAACATTTCATAATCATTTCCTAGTGTTTTGTTTCACTTTTTCAATGAATAATATTTCCCCATTTAAATTTCTCAAGGCATTGATTGCTGGAAAATTTCCCACACGTGCCCTCTGATTGTCCCTTATGGACATCAGTGAATTAAACTTGGTACATGTCAACTACACATTCATTGTCTCCTTTCTCAGCTGAGCTTGTGAATGAACCCCCATCAAAGGCTCCAAAGTCTTAGAAGTACTAATATGTTAAGAAAAATACATTTTTAAGGGTCAAAACAAAGTTACACAGAAGCAAATATCAGGGAAGGACTTCAAAAGTCCTCCTCAGCAATGAGTGTCCGTGACTTCTTGAGATTCTTCAGTTTAACAATGGCAGAAGTTACTAAAATCTCTCCATGAATTTTGTTGTCTCTTGTTCGCACGTTTACAGCATTATTTATCTTTTCCTTTTCTCCAACCACTGCAGAAAAGAAAGGTAAAGAAATGTATTTTAAATCAGCAATTTGCCAAACGTTAAGTCAGCAGTCCCATGACAAGTTTTTATCAAGTTTTTATTCGTTATTAATAAATATCATCTAATGAGCATTAGGTTCATCCTCTGATAGTTAAGTTTCTTGAGGGAAGGAATGACTTCTGATCCCATCTCTCTATTGTCCACTTGAGAGAACAGCTATTGTGGTCCTAGGGTGCAAATGAGAGCAGGGAGCTCTTACAGAGTCACTGACTCCACCTGGCATACCTGATGAGCCAAGAGGTGGACACCAGACCCATGCGAGTCAGCCAGAATTTTCTGGAATGTGGGTAAAAAGTTTGTTCTCTCTAGTGACCCATATTGTGAGATGAAGCAGGAATCTACAGCCATGCTTCTTGCCATACAGAAGGAGGAAACCGGTCTGCAGATAAGCAGAACAAAGTAGATATTCAAGAGAAGCATAAAGAACCAGAGTGAGACAGGAACCAGAAATGGGAAGAAATAGTCCTGGTGAGGGTTGGGCTCCTGATTGCTCTTCTAGTGGTTTGGCTATTTAATTCTACCTTTCATGTCATGGGATACTCCAAGACCCTTCCAATAAATGCTGTCTTTGTCTAAACCAACTTGAGATTTCTGCCACCATAAGAAGCCTGATTTAAACACCACAATACCTACTATGATGTCAAACATTATCAATGAAACGCTGTCAATAGAACAACACTATGCATATTTATTTTGCCTTCTACAGACTCTCAACTTCCAGGAAATAGCAATACTATGCCTGCAGTTATATCAGTGTTAGTTTCTCTTAATTTTGGAATCATTTTTAAAGCCTAAATTTTAGATTCTGCATCGAATTAGTCATGTGCTAAAAGGACATTTTACTTTTCATCTAAATCTTTTCCTTTGGATCATTTTAAATTTGGGATCTTTTCTTTCCATTAGTTTAAACTTTCCTAATAAGCCAGAAAAGTGAGGGAAAATATTACAGGCCTGTGAGGCTGAAATATAAAGTATATAATTCTACTGATGGGATCATTTTCACAGTTGTTTTCATTGTTGGCTTGCAATACTAACTATTGCTAGTAAAACTATCCCAGAGGATTCAGGTGAAACTTTATAACTCTTCTTCCAGCAAACAATAAAGAATACCTAGGAACAGCTAAGCCAGGAACACTATGGACTCTTCTTTTTGTATAAGTATTAAGTAGTTGAACCATATTTATTTGGTCTTTTGGAATTGAAGTGAAAAAAAAAAGCATTTGGAAAAATATATACAAACTTAAATTACCCAAAATAAAATTATACTGCGCCAGCTGTGCATTTCGTATTTTCTTATTTAGTGTACAATTATGATCTAAGTCAACGTCAGCCATAAATCCTTCTTCAAAAAATTCACTGGATACCTAGAAGAAAATGAAACACCTTTATTGTTACATTATGGTCCCTAGCCTCCAAAAAGACCCCTGTTGTTCCCCACTCTTGGTATTCACACCCTTGTATAGTTCCCTGCTCACTATACCAGAGAGGGTCTCTGTGACCATAAATAAGTGCGGAAGTGTTGGCACATCATTTCTGAGACTAGTTTATAAAAACCTGCAGCTCCCATCTCTCTCAGATCACTCGCTCTGGGGGAAACCAGCCACCATGCTGTGAGGACATTCAGGCCACTTGTGAAGAAGCCCCGCTGGTGAGGAGCTGTATCCACCAACTGTGAGTGAGCTCTGAGGCCTGCAGCCCTGGCCAACAGCCTGACTGCAGCCACAGGAGATGCTCTGTGCCAGAATCCACCAGCTGAGCTGTTCCCAGACCCTGACTCATAGGAACTGTGAGATAATAAATGTTTATTGTTTAAAGCTGCTAAGTTTTGGGGTCACTTGTGATACAGCAACAGATAACATTCTTCCCTAATAGAGCCATGTAGACATGAATACATATGTTTTAAAATACTAATTTCTCAAAAACATTAAGAAATGAAATAGTTCTGATACAGCTGCAGAGACATGATTCATGTGTTACCACCAACTGCTGAAAACATGGTTTAAGTTAATGTGTCAATTCTGCAATATTTTAAAGCATGAAGGACATTCCAAATTGATGACCTACACAGAATACATGCAAGATTATTATGTACTTTAAACATCTCTGATTTTACCTGAAGTGCATATTTTTCACAAGTTGGCCCCACAGGGATGACCATTACCTGACGAGGAGATAGCCAGAAAGGCCTGAAAAATACATAACATATGTATTTTCAAAGTATAATAATGGTTACTTATTACATGATTTTCAAATAACCAAAGATTCTTTTAAAGACTTCACAAGAGGGTAGTTTCAGTAGAGCAGCATGGAAGAAAACCAAATTATATTAAAGTTTGAAGGCAGCAAAGTAAACAGAAGGATAATTTTGGAATTTTGATAGCACAAGTGTAGGTAGAATGAACTGGCAGACAGCCCAAAGGGCTGATCATGCACTTACTGTATGCCCCAGCAACTGCACTCCTGGGCGCTTGTCCCAGAGAAATGAAAGCATATGTTCACACACGATACTGCACACTAATGTCCACAGCAGCTTTAATCAGCAAAAAAAAAAAAAAAAAAAAAAAAAAAAAAGGAACCAACTAATTTA